GGGGGGGCGCGGCCGTGCGGCGGGGCCAGCAGTGTCCCCACGCTGTGCCCACGCTGTGCCCAGCCCTCCCAGCCCGCTGCTGGAGGACACGGAGAGCCACGAGGTGGGAAGGATCACCTTCGTGTTCGAGACCGTCTGCAGCGTGGGCTGCGAGCTCTACTTCATGGTGGTGAGCGGGGGGCACTTTGGGGGGGGACACCCCGGGTTTTGGGGGACATTGTGACACTGGTGTCCCCAAAGTGAAACACCTCAGGGGTGTGTCCCTCCCTGCCAGCAGGAGATGGGGGGGTCACCCTGGGGGTCCCCAGTGTCCCTCCTCGGGGTCCCCAGTGTCCCTGCCACAGGGGACACGTCACTGTCCCCGCAGGGCGTGAACTCCCGCGCCACCAGCCCCGTGGAGACGTGGAGGGGCTCCACGGGCAGACGGTCCTACACGTACGTGGTGCAGCACAACGGCACCCTGAGCTTCACCTGGGCCTTCCAGCGCACCCCCTACCACCAGCCGGTGAGGGGGGGCCCTGCCAACCTTGGAGGGTCCCGGGGGCGGGGGCAGGGTCTCCTCTTCCTTTTGAGGGTTTCCTGGGATGTCTCCTCTTCTCTTTGGGGGTCCCAGAGGGGTCCTCTCTTCCTTTTTCAGGGGGTTTGGGGCATCCCTTCTTCCTTTTGAGGGGTCCCCTCTTCCCTTTGGGGGGTCCCAGGGTATCCCCCCTTCCCTCGGGGAGGGGCTGGGAGGGGGGTCCCCTCTTTGTTTTGAGGGTGTCCTGGGGTGTCTCCTCTTCCCTTTGAGGGTCCCAAAGGGGTCCTCTTTTCCCTTTCTTGGGGGTCCCAGGGGTGTCCCCTCCTCCCTTTGGAGGTCCCTGGGGTGTCCCTTCCTCCTTTTTGGGACATTCTGGGCCATTTTTGGGCCGTGGGAATCCCCAAACGGTGGGAATTGCTGCCCCTTTCCCCACTGCCATCGGCCGGGACATTGCCACCCAGGGGACACTCCAGGTGACACTGCCACCCAGGGGACACTCCAGGTGACACTCCCGCCCGGGTGACCGCGGTGTGTCCCGCAGGGCCGGCGCTACACGGGTGACGTGGCCAAGCTGTACAGCATCAACGTCACCAACGTGCTGGGGGGGGTGGCCTCCTTCTGCCGCCCCTGCGCCCCCCAGCCCGGGGGTCCCTGCGCCCCCTGCCCCCCCGGCAGCGCCCTGGACCCCTCCTCGGGCACCTGCCGGCCCTGCCCCCCCGGCACCGTCCTGCGGGGACCCCCCTCGGGAGGGACCCCCTCGTGCCATCCCTGCGGGCCCGGCACGCACAGCAACCAGGTGGGTGTCACCAGAGGGGTGTCACCCGGGGGTGTCACCAAGGGGATGTCCCCAGGGGGGTGTCACCAGGGGGTGTCCCCGAGGGTCCCCCGGGGGTGGCACCGGCCCTCGCCACACTCAAGGTGTCCCCGATGGGTGGCACTGGATGGGGACCGGAGGGTGACACCGTCATGGGTGGGTGGCACCGGGGTCCCCCCCGGCTGTCCTGGGTGGGTGACACTGTCTGGAGGGGTGATGCCCATCCCCAGCTGTCCCCAGGGAGGTGACACCAGCCCTTCCCGGCCATCCCGGGTGGGTGACGGGGTGGGTGACAGTTTGTGAGCCCAGGGGGTGACACCACATGTCCCCTGTCCCTGAGGGGTGGTGCCAGCTCCCTGTGGTGTCCACGAGGGTGTCCCTGGTGGGTGCCACATCCATCCCTGAGCCCTCTGTCCCTGTGTCTGTCTCCCTGTCCCTCTGTGTCTGACCTCTATCCCTGTCTTTGACCACTTGTCCCTGTCCCTTTCCCTGTGTCCCCTGTCCCTCACCCTGTCCCTGTGTCCCCATCCTTGACTGTGTCCCTATCCCCATCCCTGTGTCCCTGTCCCTGTGTCCCTGTCCCTGCCCTCATCCCTGTCCTTATCCCCATCCCTGACCATGTCCCTGTGTCCCTGTCCCTGACGGTGTCCCTGTCCCTGTCCCCATCCCTGACCATGTCCCTGTCCCTGTCCCCCTGTCCCTGACGGTGTCCCTGTCCCTGTGTCCCTGTCCCTGACGGTGTCCCTGTCCCCAGCTGCGCTCGGTGTGCTACAACAACTGCAGTCTGTGGCTGCGCCAGGCG